TTAATGACCGTGAAAGGAATTGATAGTTGCGCATGTATAGCAGTCTCAACATGAATTATCCGGTGCCCGGATGTGATATGTTGAGCACGCGGCTGCGCCTCAGCCATCTGTGAATTATCCTAGCATCAACTTCAAAGTAGAGGAGCTATGGCGAGAACCAAGCTCTCTTGCTGTGGCGCTTGGGGGCCTAGCCGCTGCAAATGCAGCAGTGACCAGAAGAAAGTGAAGAAAACCTTGCAGAAACCCTCTTCGACAGCGAAACCTAACACTGCAGAGTCCGAGCGTTTATCTCTCGAGATAGAGCTCCAGCAGTTGAAGGTCCAACGCTTGCAGCTAGAAGAGAAGGAATGGACAAGCAAGCAAAGCAGCAAGAGGCGAGCCCGGTTCCTAAGTCTTCTGCGCCCAACTGGTCCCGTCAGCGAGGATGGCGTTCTCAGAGTTCTTGGCACAGTCACCAGAGTAGCAGCGACGCTAAGAAACCGTACTGGTCAAACCAGTCCCGGTCGTACCACCCAGACTCGTGGAAGCAGACAAGCGTCAGCTCTCACGATAGTTGCCGCGAATGGGTGCGCAGTGAAGTAGCAGCATCTAGGATTCACGATGGCTTGAACTAATCTGGCACGGTTCCTCGCCCTGAAAAAAGAACAAGAGTTGCCCTAGAGCTCAAGCTGGCAGTATCGCGCGCTGTTTCTAATGTAGCCTGTCGGGTACGCGAGAGTCCAACATGAGACATAGCTGTCCTCTCACCTTCCCTGTATTCTGTCAGCATTTCTTCGGTCCCTTTAAGTCCTGGTCCCTTCGTCCCCTCGTGTGCGGTACTCGAATAGAGGGATTTCCTGTAAGGACTTACAGGGAAAACCTGTGATGACGCGGGGACACGGGGACGCGGGGACAGGGGGACACGGCGACAGGGAAACGGGGGACACGGGGACAATGGGACATGGGGACAGAGGGACACGGGGATAGGGGGGCAAGAGGAGAGAAAGACGAGGGCCAGATACGCGGTTCCTGTCCCACTCCTCTCGTCCCCCCTGTCCCCTTGTCCCCGCGTCCCTTGTCCCCTGTCCCCGTGTCCCCCTGTCCCCCTGTCCCCCTGTTCCCGTCCCCTTGTCCCCTGTCCCCGTGTGCCTCTATCTCATTCTCCCCGTCCCCCTGTTCGCCTTGTCCCCGTGTCTCCCTGTCCCCGTGTCCCCTCGTCCCGTCCCCTTGTCCCCCTGTCCCCGTGTCCCTTTCTCCTTGTGTCTGTCTCGTCCTTCGCTTCCTCTTGTGCACTCCTACCCCTGGACCTCTATATTGTTTTGTCCCCCTCTCCTCCTCCATCCTCCCTGCCCCCCTTCTCTCCGCACCTTGCCCTCGTGTGTGTCCTCATGCTCTGTCCACACGCGCCCTGGTTCGTTCTCGCTCATTACTATGCGATGGTCAGACACTGAAGCTACACAGTGGGCATCCCACATGAGGGGTTCAGGTTCTGTTGCTTTGCTATCAATCCATGTACGGCTCATGTGACACAACTGCATGCTGTTGCTGTTGCCGTTCTCTCGAGGCCTCAGGGAGTTAGTACTCGAGTAGCGCGGGTGTGGAACAGGAGCTTGACGATGGGAGGAGCGTGTGGAAGATAGCTGCGCCTTCGCTGGGTCTAATGCTAGAAGGAGCCTATCTAAATAATGGTTGAAATGAACCTACACGATTGGCCATCCAACCTAACTTACTGGCACAGAACCTGCAGGTACAAATTGCGCATCACGTATGTGTTTTGCGGCTCCCGGGATCTCTGCATATGTGTCAGGCACCAACCATAGATGTCCGTGTTCTGGATGAGCTGCTACCGTGGCCAGAGCCTCAGTGCCTATGCGGCTACCGGTCCTGATGCTTTTGGATCATGGCCACGAATTGTCCATTGAATGGCTCAAAGAGTATAAGGCCTGCATGGTGTGTCCGGCCGCGGGAAGCATCCAGATACCTCGAGAACCATAGGTTAGAGCCACGCAAGCGCAATGTCGCTTATGCGGCTGCTTGAGGGTCATAGACGTGCACAACAAGATCCACAGCTCCCCAGCATGGAAGCCTTTCGTAACCTTCATCGGTCGGCTCTTCTGTCCTACCCCGACTTGGAGTGTCTGCTACGAGATTTGGATGATGTCGAGTTGACTGCCGAGCATGCAATGCGCAGCTTGCATCGAGCAGACATAATCCTACGTGCAGTTCGCGGCGGCAAAAAGGAGCTGAGGAGCATCGTCATCCAACAATTTCACGAAGTAATCCGCCGAGATGCGGAGATGGCTCAGCTGCTTCCTCATCCGCCTGTTCACAGCTCCCAGATTGGTTCGTGGCTCCAAGACATCGCCGCCCAAATCCCCATTTTCGTGTCGATAGCGGAGTTGCAGCGTGTGCTCAAGATACCTGCGCCTCCCACAGAGATGTCCTCGCCATTCCAGCGAGAGTGCAAGCGAGTGAGGGTATGGGAAGCCACACTTCGAGACTCGTGGGAGATATTGGACGACATCCCAGAAGCAGTCTTATTGCTTCCTGATCCCCGCGATGATATACTATCCAAGCGAGACTGGGAGCGAGCACTCTACGTTGGGCGCGCCTGTCTACGTGTTCTTGCCGATGGAGATCGTCGCGAAGGACATAATCTGGCGCTACGTGAATGTCGCGATGTGCTAAGCCGCTTTACCGCACTCCGCCATCTACTGCCTGATCCGGCTGAGGACATCATCTCTGATTCTGAGTGGGCCAAGATGTATACCCGGGCCACGCGTGTCCTGTTGCAACACTGAAGGATGCGGAACGCATCATATGAAACACGAGCTCACATAAAAGGAACACAACTTGATGCGCGTCGCAGCAACCCAAAAAAAAACAAGCAAGGTCTTCTGTCGGAATGTAGCGCGACGCACATGATTGCATGCGGGGCAATTGCATGTGGAGAGTACCGGTTCCACGCACACATGTGTAGCAGCCATACACTATGCTTAGGCCCGACTTGTGCAACTGCCTATGCTTCTTGACCATGTAGCGAGCTCTTTGAGTGATCCAAGCCTTCGGCCCTATCCCTCTCAACTCTAGTCTCTGAGCTTCGTCTCCGCGAGACTCCCTCGAGATCGAGCTGGAGCGAGTCATCGACAGCGAGATAGATGAAGGGAATTTGCGCCTAGGCGACAGTCAGGCGGCCGAGGCGCCGTCGGACGGGGCCGAGAGAGCGTCTCAGCCTCCGCCGAGCAAACGTCTTCGAGGGCCAGACCTGCCTCGCACTTAGCCATGACGGACAGCACTTGTGGAGGTTTGTTGTAATTATATGGTTTAGCAGGGGTGCATGTCTAGAGCCAGTCAAGGTTCCGCGCCTACTCCGACATCCACGAGCAACGAGCTGCCGCCGCGGATGCGGCCCCTGCACCAGCTCCTCCCGTTGCTCCTGGTGCAGCGGAGAAACTGATCGACCATATTCACAACCATGTCACTTGGCGCGACACTCAACTCCCGCATGGACTGGATCAGGAAGCCCGGGTCCTGCTCTCCATGGCCAAGTACCTGTTGGATGCCACCATGGCGAACTATGTGATGTCCGCCAAGCACAAGCTAGGCTTGGCCATGTTGATCGAGAGTAAACTTTGGCGTGCTCACCATAAGCAGGTGTTCCACTACGAGAATGGGGCGTGGATCATGGTAACCGGACTCGAAGTGGAGGCGTGGGATGCGTTGCTGGCCTTGGAGGGCCTCTTCATTCAGCTTGCCACTAACCTCGAGGCTGATGGGCAAGTCGTGGGGTGCTCCTGGACAGAAGCCGGGCCTCTTGTCATGAACATCGTGAACGCATTGGTTCGGCAGGATAACCAAGTTTCTTCTTCGCTCACGAAGGTCGCGAAGGAGCAAAGTGATCATTTGCGTCAGAAGACCTCCAACAAAGTCTGGCAGGCTAAGTGGACTCGTAGGATCGCTGACATGGTGGCCGCCTTCAGGAAGCAATTGGATTCCAAAGCCCACGCTGTGACCCTCACGAAGCTGTTTCTGGTGGAGTGGGAGACGCCGATGCCAAGAGCCCAGGGAGTCTGCTTCGAGGATGTTTATCTCGATGGGTCCTGGGCTATCGCGCAGAAGTGTCCAGAGAATGATTGCTACCTCAAGCTCGACTACTGCTACCATTACGAGAACTGCGTGGACCAGTACCCGGACGTGAACCCGGATGAGTTCAGAACCAAGCTCCGACGCTTTCTGATGTCCACGTATCATGAGAATGCGCATGGGTTCCAGATCAAGCTATGCTTCCTCCACGCAGCACTCCGCCGTGCCTGTACGTCCAAGATGCTGTTTCTCCTAGGAAGTGGCGGGGACGGCAAGGGAATGGAAGCCGTTCTTGATCGGGCCTTGTTCGGCGAGTCTGGGAGCTCCACTCTTGACTGCGGAGTTTTCCTGGACCGTGGAGAATTCCGAAAGTCGGGCGAGATGGCATGGAATAAATCGAACATTAGGATCCAGGAAATGGACCACCATGCCCGATTCATCGCGGACCTGTGGAAAAGGTTCGTTGTGGACGAAGAAGTTGATTGTAGAGTCAACTACGGATTCACGAGCAAGCGCCGCTTTGGCATCTCTATGAAGATACAAGAACTCAACTATGAAAATATCCCAGTCATCGAGGAATGCGGCGACAGACGGAAATGCTGTGAGCAGCTCAAGCGAAGAGTCGCGTGTGTCCGGCTTGGCAAGGGTGTCTTCACATCTGATGAGACTCGCGTAGATCCGGCCAAGGGGATCTTCAAGTTGATCCCACAGGACGAGCTCACGGCCTTCCTCTCGCATCCCGTAACGGCTGCAATTTACTTCAGAGAGTGGTGCTTGCCGTTCTTCTTGGAGAACTCCCTCCTGGACTCTCTGGGCATGATCAACGACCTTGGGTCCGTGAGCCCCGACCTCGAGAATGACACCATTTGGCTAGCCACCTGCTTATCGGGAAACAAGACGCTTCCCCCGGGTGTCACAGATGAGAAGATCAAAGAGTCCAACGAGCTTGTCGAGCTTGTGCACGCAGCGACGCCCATGAAGCGCATCATTAAAGAGTATCTCATCATGAAGGTCGAGAGCTTACCCGGTTGTGCATCGTCGACCAAGGGAAAGCGAACCAAGCTCACCAACTTCATAGACGCCCTAGACCACACTGACGCGAAGCTTTTCAAGCAGATGGACGCAGCATGCTTCGCCAAGCTCCAGGTGGACTGGACATCCATGCAGACGTGCATGGGAGAGGAGGGAGGCTCTGCGGTGTTCGGCACATGGAAGGATTGGTCCTGTCCTTTCGATTTGGCACATGCTCAAGAGAAATGGGATGCCAAGGCCTTCATCGCGGACCAGGCGTGCATGGAGGCACACAAAGCCAGTGGCGCTGGCGTGATTGCTAGCGTTAGCTCCACAGTCGTCACTCTTGACGAGGTTGCGGACGTACAGGCCATGAAACAGTACATGCAGCTGAATGTGGACCGGCGACCAGAGATGCTCCGACAGTACGTCGAGCGCCATGAGAACTATGGTCGTCAGGATGGCTCTAAGTCCACGATCTCTGTGGAATATTATCAACAGAAGCATTACGGTCGCTACATGGGCAGGGGTCCGTCCGGCCAGAAGCTCACCAAGGAGGCTCGGAAGATTGCGTTTGGCGCAATCTGTGCAGAGGTGGATGCCGCCTGCTGTCATCCACGCCTCCTAGCAAGGCGACTCAAGAAGTTGGACCTCTGGGATCCGACAAAGTACGCCATGCTCGACCTCTTCGTCAACAACTTCGCTGCGTGGCGTCGGTGCTTGGCGAAGTACATGGACGGCTCCATCACGGACGCAAAGACGGAGCTCATCAGGATCTTCTATGGAGGAAGGCCAAGCATCCACGCGCCATTCCTCCTGAAGCTATGCCAGGAGGTTCAAACGGCAGCTGAAGCGCTCCTGGGTCACCACACTGCATCCGCGTGGAAGAACCTGTACTCAGACCGGCTAAATCCGGAATTCTCCAGACTGTCGGCTCTGTTGTCTTTCGAGGAAGCAGAGATGCTCACGACCTTCACCCGCTGCTGCTCGGCTTCGATGAACGTCCTCATCTTCGACGGCGCCTACGTGGTTACATCGTCATTTGCAGCCGAGGTGGATATGATCATTGCGTGTGACAAAGTCTCAGAGGAGATCATTCCCATGGAGGTCCAGTCGTGGGCCCATCTTGTGCAGCCCAAAGTCCTCCCACATGCAGCGCTTCGTCGAGGCGCAACTGTAGACCACAATTCTGGAGCACCTGTCACGCAGAATTGTTTGCTTTATGCGTTCTCCTGCGTGGCACCGGATGTGGACATGGAGGCACTCCAGGCCAAGCTTTCCTCGACCGACCAGATGAACGCCATGGATTTGAACATGGCTCTTCAGCAGTTGGCCGTTTCCCGCAAATATATGAGACTGGTGCACGTGGACGGCAGCAGCATGGTCGAGAGATCAAACGCTGTATGGCTCTGTCACCAAGCCGTCAGCGAGGGTCACGGTCACTGGTGGGCAGCTCTCTTCGCGGACACCGGAGGTGTTGCCCTCATCGACGCCTGGACTCAGCGCAGACATCTGTGGTTGGCCTTTGAAGATTTCCAGACGCTATTTGAGGAAACCGACAACGTGACGTGCTTTCACCTGACCGAGCAGGACGTCGAGAATGCGCTCCCAGAGACACCGGAGTATCTGCTTCGTGGAAACGGTCCCCGCCCAGCTTGCGCGCCCTCAGCCATTGTCCCCACAAAGAAGCAAGTGGCTACTGCTCACAAATCATGTATCGAGTGTGGCGCTGGATTGTACGCGGAGAAGCAGATTGATGCTCGCGTCTACACGTTGAGCGGTGTGGAGTCAGTTCAGCATGTGCAGATGCGCTGCACGCAGAGGTCCTGCCGCACCTACCACCATTACAACTACCGTTGGGTGGACGGGCGCAAGGTCAACATCTGCAGGAATTCACAGCTCGACTATGTCTTTGTGAATAGCAAGACGGGCTTCAGCCGTGCATTTCTCGACTACCACGCCGCGCTTCAATTCCGAGGGTGCATCAGCAACAACGCTATTGCGTGGGCCCAGGCTGAGACCCTTTGGCTGAACGAGAACGAGCACACCCGGTGGCCACGTGAATACGCAACAGCCGCGACGTACTACAGCATCATTCAAGCGGCTGAGGAGATGTGGTCTGAAGAGCCACCCAAATCCTTCCTGCAGAAGTTGCACGCTCTGGACATCGAGGACCCCCTGGCCGATGACTTCGTCCAGAGCTACTCAGAATGGTGGCATGCGCATCATCTGTCCAATGCCGAGCGGAGACGCATCCGTGAGGTCGTGATGGATGGTCATGAGAAGATATCGACCAAGTGCTCTACAACTCCCCCTGCTCGTGTCGGACGGCCGCGCAAGGATGGCCGCATCAAGCAGCGCCATAACGGCTGGTTCATGAGCATCGATCCTTCTAGCGGCCTCATCCTCGCAGTACAGGAGATGCTTCAGCCGGAGGACACTCAGGTCATGTTGAAGGTGCTCAAGGGAACTCTTGAGCAAGCCCCCAACGTGGACTGTGTCATTTATGATCGTGTCTGCCGGTGCATGAGCGCGATTCAGAAGCAAAAGGAGCTCAAGGGGATCAAGTCATGGTGCGTGGATCGCTTTCATGCTCGCGGACATTCCGACCGTTGCCCATGCTCCCCTCTCAACGTGAAGCGGCTTGACACAAGGTTGAAGGGCGTCAACACATCTGTGGCAGAGCAGACGTTCTCCTGGTTCATTGGATACGCAGCGACCTTGAACACAAAGGCCCGGGAGACCCACATCTTTACTGTGCTGCGCTATGTGAACCGCCACAACGACCTGGTCAGGAGCAAGTACACGCTCCATTTGAACCCCTTCAGCTCCCATCGTCGTGTCGCAAAGGCTGCCGGCATCTGGAAGAAGCCCGCAAGTCACAAACACACGTGCCGCAGACCGGCTTCCTCGTCCAGCCGTTCTAGCCCGGCAACGCCGTGTCCATCTCTTCACCGGAGGCCTGCCTCTTCCACGCACAAGGTCAAGAAGGCATACCTCAAAAACTCCAAGTGAAGATCATCGTGTTCTACCCCCGCGTATCTCGTTCCGTCTGAGCTGTGCGCGCGTTTAGGCTCGCTTGTTAATTGTACTGCGCGTAAGTCGAGAGGTCTGCGTAGCGTCAGTGTGAGCCTCTAGCTCACAGAAGAGATGTCTCATGTCACGTACGCGGAATAGTAGCCACACGCTAGGATTTCCGCCAGAAAAGCTAAATGGTCAGCACTGACGTGGGAGTCAGTCATCGACTTACGCTAGCATGAGTTCCGTGTAGGGAACCAAAGCTTGCAAAAGCACGTACAGCCGGCGTGCTAACGTAGGCAGACATGCCAATCAGAAGTGCTGTCCGGAAATGTGGTGATGCATTGCTTGCAGTGACGTTGAGATAGTTGTGACCAAGCATTACACTCGCTTTCCATGGTACGGTAGTTTAGTAAGTATAAACACGACTCGGCTCTCCCAGGTGCCGGGCTCAGCGTCCGGAAGTCGGGCCGTCCATTTCTTGTGTTAGGGTTAAATAATATATATTATATACTATTATTTACGAACGGCTCAATACTTTGATAGTTTTGAATGTATAAATGGATGTTCTAGATGTGGATGCATTCTCCTATGAGATGGTTATCGTAGTACTAGCCGGTCTACGAAAATTGTATGAAAAATACTGCGGTTTTCCTCGAGAAAACCAGCCCTCCACGCCGTCGCACTCTCTATATATGTATATATATGTATACATATACATCTACATACATATATAAATATACGAGTTACAACTGTTCTCTGTTCTATATTTTGGTCGCCCTCATCTGCGGAAACAATGCTTTTTAACAAGCCAGCCGGCAGGAGGTTGCAAAAATTATCCAGGATATGTTAACCCTAAACCCTAAACCTTTGCTGGGTTGTTCCGCTTTGGCTTTTCACGGGCATCACAAGCTGGCCTAGTCCAAAGCTTGAAGATAGCGCAATATTGGGGTTGTGGTTTAGGGCTTGGGGTTTAGTTTGGGGGCTTATGTGGATACTCTGAATGGGAGGAATCATTAATGTGGCACCCTTTTTAATGATGGGGCCCCCCCCCCTGAACAATTACCATT